CGGGGGGCACGCAGTTTGCCAAACTCGGGCGCCCGGCTGGTCCCCGCTCACGGCCGCTTTCCCTTCTTTATCTCCCCTCCGCAGAGCACCCCCGCCCAGCAGAGCGCTCCTGAGGTGCCGGCAGCCRCCAGGATTTTTGTCTGTCTTGTTTGTGTGTTTGTTGGGTTTTGTTTTTGTTATTTTTTTCCCCTCGTTTTCATTTGGCTTTCTAGTCTCGCTGGGAATGGCAGGGGCAGCGGCGCCTGGAGAAGGAACAAGTGTGGGGAAAGGGAGAGGGAGCCGGAGCTAAATGACAGGATGCGGGCGGCTTGAAGCACAGAGAGAAGCCAGCCTCTTTCTGCCCCCGGGACTGCCCCTGCGGACCGTGCTTTCTGTTCCTCACTCCGGCTGGAGGATTTAAGGAAGAGTTGTGCGTGGAAAGCATTTTTATTTTTTTCYTCCTTTCCCTGCTGTCGGAAGGGAAAATGGATTGGGGACTTCTCCTGCACTGTGCAGCCCTCACCTTCACCCTCGCCAGGGCTCTGCGGAGCGGTGAGTGTCACGGGGGACGTCATGTATCAGCCTGGGCAGCTCCGGGGCCGGGCTCCGGGGCCGGGCTCCGGGGCTGCCGGCGCGGGGGGCGGGCGGTGGGGCCCGGCGGGCTGTGGGACCGGCACCGACAGAAACCCGGCTGGGTGGAACTTTCTGCCAGAGGAGGGATGCGGCGTAGTCCTCGCCTGTGGATCGCCCGCCCTGACATTGCCTTCCGACTTTATTTTCTGCTCTTTCGGATTGTTGTATAAAGCAGGCTGCTCATTCTCACTAGATCAGGGCAGTCAATTATCTTAATAATGTCYCGTCCCATAGGCAATTAAATGTCTCTCCTACGATATCTGAAAGATAATGAGCACTTTATAGGGAAGGCTCTCTTCCCCGCGCGCCTTTTTTGTTTTCCAAAGCATGAAATTTTAGATCATGCCTCCTACTAGCTGTGTGTGTACCTGCGAATAGTCTTCACACKGAGAACTCTCTAGAGTTCCCTTTCCCAAGTCTGCAGTTTACGTGCAACTTGCACTGTGCCAAGCGGGGAGCTCAGCTTCTCTGTGAAGGCTCAAGACTCCCCTCCAAGAGGAGAAATCCCATAACAAACGAGTGATGTAGCTAGCTTACTGTCAGACAGTCCTTGAAATCACAACTAATTAAAAGCAACGTGCTCCTCCTTCTCCGAACAATGCCAGGCACTGTGAATATTTCACTGCATGATGCATTTTTAAAGATGGTCTAATTGTGGGACTGCTTGACGTTTAGCTCTTGCACAGGAAACAGCTCGTGCGAGTCTTCCTTTCCTGACAAATCCTGAGCAATTATTATTAACTAATTATCAAATATTTACTTTTGCCTGACTGGGTTTTCAATCAAAGTAATTAAAAGAAGAGAGCACCCTCCACTTACACTGGTATATTGTTTTAATAAGGGACTGCAAGTGGAGTGTCAAACAGGAGCATTAAAACCGCATGTTTTATGATGGAAGTTAATCTCTTTCCCAATGTGTTGAGGAGGCTGTTTAGTTTAATCAGGACGAGCTTCCTCCTCCAGTGCTGTGGCACAGGAGCAAAGGTGCTAGAGGGGTGCACCAAGCCTGGTGTGGGGATGCTCTGAGAGGTGCACTTTGCTCATCCCCCAGCCCAACTGAGGGGTGTGGGCAGCTGCTCCCACATAAACCCATACTGCCACCGTGTACTTCTGAGAGACAGAAGGGGGCCGCCYCCATGCTCCTGTTGATTGTTTCTCCCTGTTAAAAGAGCGAGTTGCTGGGCAGAAGCCACCACGAGTGGTTAATGTGGTGGTCCTGCTGGAGTCACCRAGGCCATTAACCTCCTCCATAACCTGCCAGACCTACTAATGCCACCTTCACCTCCATGCAGTATTAGTGTCCACTAAATTAATTCATTAACCTTATTTGGAACTAATGGTCCAAAGTCATTAGAAACTGCTCTTCTTAATCAAGTGTGAGAGAGATTGCACAGAGCCAAGGAGTCTAGCAGACCGCATTATCTTATTACACTGTCACTTTCCCAGAAGTCACAGATTAAGGAGCGCTGGTGGTAGTGAGTCCACCTCAACGTCCTCTGAAGTGACTCTGTCAAGTGACTAGAAGCAGCACTGCTTTATTTCAGGCATTTAACAGATGCCAGACTCTGCCATGTTGTTTGCAGGACTGGAGTGGGCTTAATGAGACAAGATCACTTTCCGAGTGTGCTTACACAGTGAGGAAAAGGCAAGATTCCCAGAGAGCCCCAGACAGYGGATTAGCAAGATCACCAGTGACAGCTTTTGAGCTTTGAGCTGCAATGCCTTTTGTTCTGGTCAGAGGAAAACAGCCTGTTTTGCAAAGGCACAGCGGAAATATAATAAGATAGYCTTTCCCAGCAACGTGCTTAGCAGTATCTGGGTCTTGACTATACATCTCAGTACCTATCAACCCCTTCCCTCCTAATTTATGGCAAATAATTTCTATAAAGAGTGTTGCTTTATGCATTTTTGATGTGCGTTTCCTCATTCGTTTCCATTTGACCTGTTTTTCCTACAATAAAATCCTGTATATTTATAAATTCATGCTGAGAGCAAGGATTGCCATTTTGCTTTCACAGGGAATGTAGTAGATAGAGCACTGCAGTCTGTGTATACCATTATTGAGACGTAAGATATAGTGCTGCTTTTTAGGGGGAACATTCTTCCTGTCCATACTTTACTTCATGTTTTATTGCTCAAAATTAATCAACCACTGTGTGGAGAAAGTTTTTTCTCCCTGGAGGTCACCAGAAAGAAATCCATAGTAGCAAAAAAAATGATAACACAARCCTGCACTGGACAGTGAAGTGGGTGACTGTGTAGGTTGGATTTTTTTGTCCCTTCTAGTTTTTCCTTTAAACCTTAAAATGCAACCCTGACAATGCTGACCAAAGGAGCAAGAAGCAGCACACCATGTTTCACAGWCACACTTCGTGATTCTAGAAACTTTTGCAACTATTTTGCCATTAGAAATAGATCTTTGTTGTTGTTCGGGGGAGGAAGGAATGAAGGGAAGAGGAAGGGATGTTGTTCTGCTCCATTACTTTGATGCAGTCTCCAAGCATGAACAAACTTCCTTGAAAGAATAAATAGTGGATKATTTCTGCTTCACTAGAGCTACTTTGTTCTCCGCTACTCTGGGTTTGAAGAGCACAGATAGTTTCAACCTGCGTAGATTTATGGACTGATAAAACAAAGGGAGGGTCTCCTGCGAATGAGCTTAGATCCACCAAGACAAACTCAGTGGTCAGTGACACAGACCAGGCTTACCCCATAGCTGGGCAGGGGGCCAAATGGCATCCCTTGACATCTCCTCCCAGCTTTTCTTAAAACTTTTCTTAAAACTTCATACTTAAGAAGATTATAGTTTTTGGAGTTAATTGTGTCCCACGTACCCTTCTAAGCCAAYATTTACTCTGTTAGGAGGATGCAAGGTTTTAACACTGTAAATGGAGTGGAAGGCTTATTTTTAAAAGGATACTGTTTAGAGCTGTGGTGCCTTCTGCTACCTGCTGCCTGTCCAGCCACCGGATTTAAGGACGGGGACGGAGAGAAAGTTGTCTTCCCTGTGATAGAAAGTAGCAGAGATGCCTTTAGAAGCAGAAGGATGCAGCATAAGTTTGCCTGAAGAAGGCTGCGGCCCCGCAGCATTCCCACGGCAGTCGGGTGCTTGCCTGGGGCACTGAGACCAGTCCATGTGTTTCCTTCCCCCGCAGATAAGTGTGGCGACACTATCAAAATTTTAAGCCCCGGGTATCTCACGTCTCCCGGCTACCCGCAGTCCTACCACCCGAGCCAGAAGTGCGAGTGGCTGATCCAGGCGCCGGAGCCCTACCAGCGCATCATGATCAACTTCAACCCGCACTTCGACCTGGAGGACCGCGACTGCAAGTGAGTGAGCGCTGCGGAGCGCCACGGCGACACCTGCCGGCCACCGCGGGCAGCTCCGCGGCCGCTGGCGCRGCGTGCTCCGGGCCGGGGGCCGAGCGGGCGGTGGGCGGCTGTGTGTGCGTGTTAAAAGTGTCTTTACAGCTCTCTGGGGTTTGGCAGCTGCGTCTGAGCTGCGCCCGCCCCGTGCGCTGCGAGCGGGTGGCGGCGGGGCTGCGCGGAGTGGGGGTGTGGTTGTGGTGAGGCACCRTTTGTCGGCCCGCTTCCTATTGTAAGTTTCTTGTTTGAGTTTGAGTTTGAAAGTGGAGTTCCTTTTCCTTTTGCACCCCCATGACTACAAGGAGCCCGTGGAAGAGACAGGCCATTTATAAATTGCCAAATCTTCTTAACGCAGAGTTAGTCTGGCATTTATTCTCATCCTTCGAGGGGCAGTGAACTGGAGGACTGATAGTCATATTTCCTTCTTTCTCCCTTTGCTGCTGATTTACAGCCAGTAGCTCATTTTTCCCTTCCTCCTGCTCTCCCGTGGTGCCCTGAGAGGAAGAAGGAGGGAGCTGAGGCTCCCTTTATCCCCTGTCCTCGCATTCCCTTTGACCGCCTCTTCCAAAAGTAAGAGGGGGAATCAGAAACTCCCAGAAGCTGTTCTCCACTTTTCCCCARATCTGTAAAACTCACAGCTTGCACAAGGCAACACATGGTCAGATCATTCCCCTCTTCAACAAGCCCTCTGAATTCGGCCTGCTTGTTTCATGAAGAAACTATTTTAGTGATTCATTATTTAAGTATTTATGGAGTATCATAGCTATTTAAATACTTCTTGTGTCTCATCGTTTTTTATTCCCTTTTTGATAACTGCAAGAGAGTTGCTGTTCATTAATGCTACCAGTGAAGATTTTCTCTGCATGTCAGAAAGATTAAACTCAATAGGCAGTGATGTTTGGCGTTTCATGGGGGTATTCAGGATTTGGTCCCATGAATGTGATAGAACATGAGATTAGAGTGTTGCACGTAGGGAAAGAGAGCAACTGTACTCAAGCATTTAATTTTTACTGTGCACGTCTTTTTCCTATTATTTAATAAATTGATTACTTAGATAACAATTATTGTTTTCTCTTAAAATGAAGTTTTTAAATGATGCAGTGTGGGGCTTAGTTGCTTTTTTGTTGTATTTTATAACCACTTATAGATCAGCATTTCAGTGCTATAGTTGAGTGATAATGCAGGAAAACCCCATGCTCATAAAATTAAACTGACTCTTTGCGAAAATGGGTTTTCACTGTGGCGTTGGAGCTGCAGCTCGTATTCACACCATATGTTCACACGCTGACTTCCCATTCTTCAATTTTTAATGTCTTGTACTCAGGCAATGATTCACTTCCCTGTGTCTTCTTGATACAGGTTTTGCTTTCGTTCTGTGGAACACTGCTAGTGCTTTCAAATATTTGTCACTCTTGGTCTCCTAGATAGAAATTAGGAAATTAAATCAAGCATATTTCAGTCAAATCCTTTTTCTCCCTTGCTAGAATGCATGTTTTTCCAACTCTGTAAAACCAACATGGTCTTTGGCAGCAGTAGAATGGTGTACAGCATACAATTATTTGAAGAACAAGTAATCTTTGTGGCACAGTGTTGTGCTAAACAGTGCTAGACTGAGCTGAACTGGGTCCAGGGAAAGGATTGACTCCCTCCCTCTGTTGCTTCCTTCTCAGTRTTCATTGTCCACTCTCCCCCCTGCATTATTTCTTCCCCTGAAACGGAGCCCAAAGCAGYAATGAGATGGTAGTGGGTGGAAGGAAGTCGCTCAACAGGGTTGTTTGCATTGTCTTTGCAGTGTGTGATGGTGATGACTTTACCATTATTTTGTCTGTGCTGAAACACTAATTTTCTAGGCTATGCTAAATTACTCAGCTGCTACTTCATTTATATTGAAAATTGCTCTTTTTAGCTTGAGAGGGATTGTATTTGTGCAAAAAATAACCTTAGGACGAGAACAACAGAAAATTATTTCAGCAACAGGAATTTGTCAACAGTCCCCATGGTCTGAAAATTCAGCACCGACTTGCAAAATTCACATTCCTTGTACTGAATATTGAATACAACAGGCGATTAATGCAGTAAACCTCTCACAAGATTTTTTGSTTTTCCAGCTAAGTACATTTTGTTTTTCTAATATGCTTAGCTTATTAGAAACTCAGTCTGTAATCTAGAAATGTTTAATTTAGGTTACACTCTAGTTTATTGAAAGGTTTAGCACTGGAAATTAATAACCACTTAAATATGAAATGCAGATAGAAAATGAGAGATAAGGGAATTCATGTCTGGGAACAAAAAATGTCCCATACAATTAGAGTAGACTAGAGAAGATTAGCTTGCTGGCCTAGCTCCCAAAATCCTCCTTATAATGCTGTTCATTGCATATTGGACCTTAGTTAGCGTTGAAAACAACTTTAATAACAAGAACTCCCTGAGCCTAGGAAGGGGAACACYGTGAGTTTGGAAAGGTTACCTTATTGCACCACAGTGCCAACAAGAAAATCAGCAGACTTTACCTAACTTGAAAAAATATTGCTCTATATAGAAGGCTGGATGTATTGAAATGTAAAACTGGTGAAAGGTTGATTCTCTGAGGAGAATCAAAAGCAGCACATTTAAGCATTAGCTGTACTGAAGCTGTTCCCAGTAAGTCTCTTTGTATGTTAAGGTTTGGAATTAATTTAAGAATATGCCCTTGATTTACCTACTTATTATGCTATGCTTTAATGAATAAGTATTTCTCAAATGACTGCTAATAAAATTCATATATGTATGTTTTTCTGACAATCAGAACCATTTGAGTTGTTTTAAATTTCAAGTCAACATAGTGAAAATTCCTTTTTCTCTGGAGGCATTCCAAAGGACTCAACTTTCACAGTTTTGAAGAATAAAGATACACAAATAATTAAAAATATGTTCACACAAGCTTGGTTCATCTCATAAAAAATCTTCTAGACAGAACTACTGTACCAGCATTATGAAWATACTGGGTTTCAACAGGAAGCCCACAAACGTGTCGACCACAGATTGTTATCAGGGACATATATAATGAAAAAATACAGTCTCTTTTTAACATTTAACTCTAATGAGTGTTATGCYTCCTCTCCAGGAGGCCAAGAAACARAAATTATGGTTGCACTTTAAGAGAAAAGTAGTTTTGTGTTTGCCATTTTGCCTTTTCTCAAGCAAGTTCCAATAATAAGCATGCATTTTTGGAGTCAGGAGCATGGTTAAAATGAATAGAAGAGACAAAACATATGGCCACATATTAGTTAAAATGCTCTAGTGTTTGTTGCATGTGGTAAATGCTTTTCAGCACTTAGTGCAAGCTRTACAAATCTCGTGTTGCTGAAGTATCCTACTGTGTAAATGTAGCCATCTTGAATCTAGTAAAACTTTATACCTAGATAATAAACAAGAATGTCACTGATACAGTACTTTGAATTTATGGAACTTTTCCGGTTTCCCAGCAATGCACACTATCAGCATGATAATTTATAATGGTTTGTGACAAATGTTGCTGAGCAAAGAGGTGTGTGGTTACATTCAGATCAGATGTCATTATCTAGGGAGCAATAAAAATTTCACAGACACTAGGTTAAAAACATTAAGAAAATGAATGTGAAGCTTCAGAAGAAAAGGGCTTAAGAAAGGTGGAGGGTTGSTCAGAGAAAGCCCAATAGTGGTTTCCTTACTGACAAATTATTAACTTTGTTGCCAGACTTGACCGTATTGTTTTACAAGGTTTTCATAGATATGCCACACAGCACTATTGTTTTAAGGACCATCATTTATGGATGTAGAAAATAAATATCATCCTTGCTTAACACTTGTGGATTATAAACAACAGTGCTGTCAAACTGCTCAGAGTGGAAAAATTGCCCATTTTGAAAACATTCAAGTTATAGGAGAGATGTCATAGATAATTCCTCTTCATAATGCATTTACTAGGGATTAGTTACACGGATGAGATTAGAGCTGTATAAAAATTGTGGTCAGTTATAGAATAGAGAACAAAAAATACCTGTGTTTGTTTATATAGAAGAAAATGGCTCCTCCAGATCCCTGAGTAATGAAGGAAGAATAGGTATGCAGACCTACAGGGTGAAAATGTAGCACCACATAACTCCCATAGGCCTTAATGACATTAGAAATTCATCCATCCATTTTATTTCTAAATAATGTCAATGGATTTATGCTACAAATCTGTAGGTATAACAAACTCAGGCTGGTAAAATAAACAGGAGCAAGCAAAGTCCTGGCTCAGCCTTTCTTTAGTTTCTACACAGTTCGAGCTTTCATTTGCTTTTGTCTAAATCCTGATTCCTATTCTTGCACGCAGCGGGGTCTGCTTTGTGCCACACTCGTGTTCATTCTGTTTGTGCAGGGGCAGTTTGAGCCCTTTGGGTTGAGCCCATGGGTGTAAGAGTGCCCCTGTCCTTGCTGCCCACCTGCAGAACCAGCCATGAAGGATCCTGCCCTCTGAGCCTGTCAGAAGGGCGCTGCCATCAGCTGCACWCAGCAGCTGCTTCCTGCCTGCCCCAGGTGCTGCTGGAGCCTGGACAGTCCTGAGCTGCTCAGGGGTAAGGGGTGTCTGGGCCCAACACAGCCCCCCTGCCCACGGAAGCAGTGGGAGCTTTGCCCTCCACTCCCCCAGAGCTGTCTCCATCATTTTTCATGGGGAGGGGTGCACTGCAGGCTCTGTAGGATGGTTACTGGCTCTATCAGTCCTTTGGATAGAAAATGTCAGAGCTTTCTAACTCCCTCTGCCTGGCCACCATGGGGCTTGGCAGGCAGAGAGTGCCTGCAGCTGGTAATGCACAGGAACAGAGTCACTCGGGTTTGTGGAAGGCAGGGCTTGTGTTTGCCCACAGCTGAGCAGGGAGGTCTGAAGGAGCCAAGATCTCTGAGCTTTCCGACAGAAATATGGTTTGACTGGCTTGGCCCTGTCAGCTGAGCATCAGCACTGGCCTTTTAGTGGATTCAGCAGAATAAAGTATCCAGGAGAGGTGGGAATGCCCTCTCCTGACTGCTGAGGGCAGCGGGAAAGATGCCCACACTCCCCTGCTTGCTCAGAGCTGCATTAACTAATCCATCCAACCCACACATGTGGAGTTGCCCCATCATGGGCTGCACTGCCCAGACAGAGGTGGGCAGTGGCCTGGACATGTCTGTCAAAGCCAGAGTGGCATGTGGACACCAACACACTAAGAAGGCTGTACCTGGGCTGAAGAGGCAGCATTTTACCCCTTCTGTCTGCCTCAAAAATCTGTCCTTCCAGAGCCTTTTGGGGTTACCAAGAGAGTAATTGGAAGTAATAAAGGGGTGAAAGGGGCCATCCTTCATTCTGTTTCTTAAACAATAAACAAGTGTTTTTGGCTTAGTTTGAGATGAGTTGTTGCAGTAGATTTGGGGGCCATGTGGTATCTCATGTTTCTGAATGCACTCTGAGGGAATTTCTCTGCTTTGTATAAAGCACACTAAAGGCTCTCTCAGGGAGCACTCAGCTGTACCCAGACAGCCCTTCTGGTGACCAGTGCTGTTTAGTACCTTCCATAAGGCTGCTGGAAACGTTCCTTTCAAGGAAAGGAATCAGCCCAGAGCCTGTGCAGGATCAGGGAAGGAGAAAAGATTTGTCGTACCCCAAAAATTTCTCCTTAGCTTAAAGTTTCTGCATTGTGAAAGTATGTACTTTTTGCAACAAGATTCCACATGTATTTGCACACGCATATCAGGTGCAAATGTGTAAAGATGCTGGTATTTAATTTTGCTTGATTGACTAAATGAGAGTTTAAAGAAGTTGGAAATTATATTGTTTTTCTGATTATACAGTGTAATGAAACAATTCCTTTGGGTTTTATTCAAGCAGTTAACTCTTGTGAATGTCTCTACTGCGAAACTGTTTAACAATTTGTTCTTTTAGAGTAGTGKTTTGAGTTGGAGTTTTTTCAGGAAAAGGTATTAAGAAATCCATGGCCAAACTGTCTGGTCATAGCTAGGGTCTGTGCTGGGCTGTGTTCAGGGCTGAGGGGCTGGGTGCAGAGCCCAGTGTTGCACTCTGCATCCCTGTCACAGAAGAGTCTGGACTTGTACAGAAGCATATTAAAACTATAAAACCAGTCATATATGGATGTTTCTATTAATCTGAACAGTTCACTGTGAGGAGAATTCTGTGCTACAACCAGATGCCCTTCAGACAGGAAAAATTTGAGGGTCAAATATGGATTCCCTTAAGCCTAATCCTTCATCCTTTCTGTGGACAGAGATAAACAAATTCAGAACAAAGGTCTAAGTCCTTTCTAAATTGAAACCTAGAGCTATTGGAATTAGCTCCATGAAACTCTCAATATGTTTTCAGTCAACCCCATACTGCTCTTCTCTCYGCTCTCCTCTCCTGTGGTAATCTAATTGAAACAAAAACCTATG